CACCAGCGCCGCCATGCACGCCCTGCGTCGAGGGCCGGCTCCGCCGTGCCCCTCACTCCTCCTCGTTCCCCCCCACCGCCGCACCGCTGCAGACCCTGCACATGGATGTCTGGGGCCCCGCCCCCGTCCATGGGCCGCGTCATGAGCGCTACTTCCTAGTGCTTGTCGACGACTACACGCGCTACACCATGGTGTTTCCCCTAGAGCGGAAGGCCGACGTGCCTAGCGTTCTTATCCAATGGCTTGTCTCTGCGCGTGCTCACTGAGGTCTCCCAGTGTTGCGTCTTCACTCCGACCGTGGTGGCGAGTTCGCACCTGGCTACCTTTGTCACATGATCGAATGAGGTTTGCTCAATGTTGCACTATCGATCAGTACAAGGTGCTTTTATACTACCAAAGTATTTTAGGTAACCAGGTTTATCCTATCCCAATGGAATAGACCCTTCTACAAAAAGAATCACCATGCTTATAGTCACGCGAGGCTGTTGGCTTTAAGGGATTACGGCAGGATTACGCTAGATATAGCGCGCCAGTACATCTTGAGCCTGGTCGGTAATATAATCATAATAACATGACAAATCAAAAGATAATGGAAAAGAAGGAATAGAAAACCAGATGAGATGAGATAAAGACCAAATGAATCAGGATAAAAAAAGGAATGAAATAGAAAGGAAATATGGAAAGGGGAAATTAGTGTAACGGGGTCGTACTCTCACAGCCTTGGTCGCTTCTGTCGTGCCGAGGGCATCATCTAGACATTCACCTAGCCGGACTTCCCGCAGCATAATGGGGTCGCGGAGCAACGCATCGGTTTTGGTCATAGAGGTGGCTCGTACCTCCATGATCCATGCTGGTGCACCCGATTTTCTGTGGCCGTTCGCTGTTCGCTACGCCGCTCACCAGTTTAACCTGTGGTCGCACCCTCAGCAGCCGCAGGTTTTGCCGACCCTCCTCTGGACTGGGTCCGCTGGTGATGCGTCTGCGTTCCACATCTGGGGCTGCCTTACTCACGTTCGTACCTCTGGCAGGGACAAGCCCACTGCCCGCACAGTCCCCTATGCCTTCCTCGGTTTCCCCCTTGACTCGTCTGACTGGCACGTTTTCCTCCCGCCGTCTCACCGATTCTTTCACTCCCGCGATGTCACCTTTGGCTGCAGCCGCCATCGTCCATTCTGGGGGTGGTGGCATGGAGCTTCTCTGAGGGAGCCGTGCTGTCGCCGGGGGTTCTGGTGTTGGATTCGGGCAGCAGTCGGAGCAGTCGCCGCCGGTGTCTGCTCTTCGCCTGCTCGGTCTTCCTTCCCCTGACCGCCTGCCGGTGCCTCCTCCGTCGCCGCCGCCTCCTCCTCCGCTGGTCTACGGCCCAGTGTTTCCTCCCCCGTACTCCTCTCCGGCTCGTTTCCCTCCCCGTTCTCCTCCTGTGTCTCCTCCCCTCTCTCCTGACCCCACTCCTCCATCTCACGTCTGGTCTTGTCGCCCGTCTCGTACTCCTCCTACCTCCCCTGTTCAGCGGTCTCACCCCATGTTGCTTCGCTCCCACGCGTCTCGTGCTCCTTCGCCCCTCCCGTCTCCCCCTCTGTCGTCGCTTGCTGTGGCCTCACCCCAGTTCTCTGACTTCCTCCGTACTGCGTGTCCCCTTGTTCCTCGTGTCCTTGCCTCTCTTGTTACCGACCCGTCTGTTCCTGTCTCGAGGGTGTCGGCTCTTGTTGCTGCTCTCACTGACTTTGCCACTACCCGCCACCTTGACTACGCCATCGCTCTGGTCTCTGACCCTGCCTACCCTCTGTCTATCAGGGGAGTGGCTGCCCTTGGCAGTGACATCCTAGAGGACAGGCAGTACGAGCTCGCTTTCCTGTCTGAGGCCGCTCCCCATCTTTGTTCCATGCTGCTAGTCCCTGAGGGTGACCCAGACGCCCTTGACATCCCGACCCCTCGCACCTACGCTGAGGCCACCCCGAGACCCTGGGCCTCTCAGTGGATAGCTGCCATGGAGCAGGAGATGGCATCTTGGAGATCCACCGGTACCTTCGTCGACGCAGTTCCCCCACCTGGGGTGAACGTAGTCGATGGCCAGTGGCTCTGCAAGGTGAAGCGCCCTCCCGGAGAGCCGCGTGTCTTCAAGGCGCGCTACGTTGCTCGAGGCTTCAGTCAGTATGAGGGGGTGGACTTCTTTCAGACCTTCGCCCCGTCCCCGAAGATGACTACTCTTCGGGGCCTGCTACACGTAGCAGCACAGCGTAACTACGAGCTACACTCCCTCGACTTCTCCACAGCTTTCCTCCAGGGCAGTCTACACGAGCAGGTCTACCTGCACCGCCCCCAAGGCTTCTCCGGTACCTTCCCGCCTGGTACCGAGTGGCTCCTCCGCCGCCCCATTGACGGCCTGCGACAGGCGCCCCATGAGTGGCACGACACACTGCATGCTATACTTGCTGACCTGCAATTCTTCCCGTCCTCTGCACACCCCTCGCTCTTCATCCATTCCTCGCTCTGCGTTCTACATCCTTGTCTACGTAGACGACCTGGTCTTCGCTACTGTAGACAAAGATGCACTGGCCTCTGTAAAGGCCGAGCTGCTGAGGAGACACACCAGCACTGACCTAGGAGTGCTGTGCCGCTACCTTGGCTTGCAGATCTCCAGGGACAAAGCAGTGCGCACCATCAGTCTCACATAGTCACACTTGGTGCGCCAGGTCCTTCAGACATTCGGCCTTCATTTTTCTTCCGCACAGCCCACCCCTCTGCCAGTAGACTACAGACTCTGTGCTCCAGTCCCGGAGGAGGCTGTGGAGCCTACTGGTCCCTATGCAGAGCTGGTGGGTTGCCTCATGTACCTGATGCCAGATCTTGCATACCCTCTCAGCATCCTGGCTCGCTTTGTGGCCACCGGCAGACACCGACCACAGCACTGGTCGGAAGCTAAGAGGGTCTTGCGTTATCTAGCAAGTACATCGGGCATGGGGCTAGGAGGACGCAGACTAGTGGTCCTTACCAGGCACACAGACGCTTCTTGGGCAGATGACGTAGAGATTCTCAGGTCCTCCCAGGGCTACTACTTTAGCCTTGGTTCAGGTGCCATCTCGTGGAGGTCCATTCCCTCCTCGTCTGTTGCACAGTCTAGCTGTGAGGCTGAGATGTACGCTGGTGCCATGGCAGCACAAGAGCTCCGCGGGCTCACCTTCTTGCTAACCGACTTGGGTGAGTGGCCTAGCTCTGCCTCGATTCTAAACGCTGATAACAGGGCCATGATCCTCCTGTGTCAGGAGCCTAGACTCAAGGGTAGAGCGAAGCACATCCAGCTGCGGTACTTCCTCCTGCGTGAGCTACGGCAGCGTCGCCAGGCCCGCGTAGAACACTTGGCCTCCGGTGCCAACACAGCTGGTATCTTTACGAAGGCGCTTGCGACACTGTGTACAGCTAGGTCTCGTTCCTGTAGCCTCTCATTTGCTAGGACCTTGATTTTGTACAGACGGACCTTTATATATATTACCCTGACTGGCCTTGTGGCCTCTTCCCAGTGGCTGGACTAGTAGTGCCGCCCTGGTCTTGCTCTTGCCTTGTTTGTACTCGTTTGACTGGTCTTTAGCAGGGCTCAAAATTGGTGTAGAGGCACCCTTGGGAATCAGGGTACTGCAACAGAATTACCCTGCCTCCTAGGTTTGAATTTTCAGCACCCTTTGAAAATCAAGGTGAATTCGCAAAAACTAGTCAGTACCCTGTTTGAGTCAGGGTATTAATGCCATCACCCTGTCCACTGCGCGGTTAACAGCTTCTACAATTTCAACTTCTTCTTACTAGCAAGCATACAAGCAGGATCACTACAGCAAAGCATTAACAGCCTTTCCTACTTCAGCTGCTTCCGTCAGCATTGCACCACTGCACAGATACAGCAATAGCGGCGGGGGCAGTAACAGCTACAATGTTCCTTCCTTCCGCGGATGGAGCTGCTGTTGGAGGTGCTGAAAGGGAGGAAATGCAGGGGCAAGGACATGGTGATGCGCAGGGGGAGGAGCGTGAGGCTAACAGAGCAGCGGGAGACTAAGGGCATATTCATGAGTTTAGACTGTCCATCTTGCTGTTGAACCACCTCGATCGCGTCAGCAATGGTCGTGACTCTGTTCACAACACTCATACGAGATTGGTCAATGACACCTGGCACTGCTGCTGCATCAATCTCCCACCGTTTTCAGAGGCACCAAACCGACACTGTCAGAGTACGCAATCTCTGTAGAAGATTCCTCGTTAGCAGATGCTCGGTGAAGTTCTGGCCTCAGAGTGCGTGTTACAAGCCAAATTCATTTTGCATTTTACATAAGACATGGGCGTTATATTTTTCCAGCCTACTGTTAACACCCATACGTTATTTTGATGAAATTTTGACAATACCATAGGGTGTTATATACGGGGGATTACGGTATGTGGAAAGTCAAGGTTAATAATAGAAAAGCATTAGAGCGTGTTCCTACCAGCCTCTTCCCAGGCAACCTCTTCCCAAAACCTTCTTGGGCCGAGATTCACGAACTCAAGCACCCCTTCCCAGTCACGTACGAAAACTGTCGCTCCCCACTTTTGGTCACGAATCATGTCGCCTGCATGCCACGTAGTCCGCTTGTAATCGCACGGATTTCGAAAATAGTCGATTGGCGGGCCCACGTCCCGGTTAGCCGTTCACAAATCCAAAATCGCATGCGCTAACGACAGCCACGTACACACACATTTCGCCGCGTGCCAACCAAACTGACAACTCACGAATCGACCGTCCTTGGGTTGTGAGCGCTGGTCTGCAATTCGAACCGTCGCATTCGTTTGTGTAGTTTTTGATTCGTCGGCACAAACCGTGGAATCAAGTCTGAACGAAACGCACTCGTTTGAAGGGCAGCTCACTATTTTTTCACATCAAGTCGCACAGTTGCCTAGTCACCCTTTGTACAGTGTCGCGCGCATCCCAGGTTGACAACTTTGTCCGGGAAGAGGTTGGGCTTGGCTTCGGCGTGATTCAGGCAAGATGTGCTAGTTTGGGAAGAGGTTGGTAGGAACGCGCTCTTACAAGGATTTATAGCTCTAGGAAAAGTACCTGCTCGGCTAGTTGAGCGCTATGCGACCTATTCATCATTCTATAGGGTCGCGACTGCTCGCGCGACTGAAACGGTTCGTTACGCTTATTCGCGTGACTGAAGCGGTATGCTGACATCATCCCAGAGACGCGCGATGCTTTGATGGCGTCAGCACTCGAGCATGGTTGCTTACTGAGAAACTCGATACTGCTAGCTACACCAAAAGCGGAACTTGCAGGAATGCAAAACTTCATATATCACAACATTGATGAGCTACTTAGGATGGTGGTGGCGTGAGAAGGCGGCTCAATGCTGAAGGAGATGCCCCAAATATCTCTTCAGGCAAATAAAATGGCAGCCTGAGGTTCTGCCAAATTCCAGAGGGGATTAAGGGTAACATTGAGTAGAGGCAGAAAGGTGAAATAAGCGTTTGCAATAAAAACAAAATATCATGTTAAATAATAGGCAACATATATGACAACCAAGCAATAGATCCCATTACTCACCTGAGCAAACACCCGATCCGAGTCGCTGTGGTCCTTGAGGCGGCCAGCGGCATCGCCCACAAAAAAGGACCTGAGTCAAGGCAGCGTCAAGAGAGGTAGAAGGCAAAGTGAAGAGATGGACAAGAGACAAGGAGAGACAAACAAGGGACGAGTGTTGAACGGGGGGGAAAGTGTTGGGCTGAAGGTTTCAAGGGTCCCTTCTGTCAGATTTACCCCACACACCTTCAGCTCATCACTCTCGCCCCTTCGCCCCCTTCGCCCCCGCGCCCCTTCGCTCATCCTCAACTCTCATGGTCTCCATGCCCTCACCATTGCACGTCTCCATGCCCTCACCTCCCCATGTCTAACCCCACGCCCCCATTCAGGCAGCGCCACAGCAGGTGCCAGAGCCCCCCTTCTGGCTTTCGAAACAGGTCCCCTGAGTGGCTGCGACCGCAGGAGATGAAAATCTGGATGGGGGGGTGGGAGGAGAAGAGAGGGGAGGAAAAAGAGGTTCAACCCATTTGAATGTTTTGTGAAACAGGTGATTAAGATATGAAAAATCTGATTCAAGAGATCCACCGAGTGGCTGCGACCACAGGAGATGAATATATGGATGGGGGTGTGGGAGTGGAGGGTCGAGAGGAGGGGGAATGGGAGCAGCGAAGGCGAGGGAAGAGGAGGAGGGACAGCGCAAACGTCTTCTGAAATAGGTCCCCTGAGTTGCTGCGACCACAGGAGATGAAAACGTGGATGTGTAGAGGGACAGGTGGGAAGTCTATTTTTGAGCCGCCTAGAAAATGTGGATGTGATGGAAGGACAAGTGGGAAAGTGAAGGTGGTGAAGAGAGAGGTGGGGAAGAGAGAGGTGGGGAAGAGAGAGGCGGGGAAGAGAGAGGTGGGGAAGAGAGAGGCGGGGAAGAGAGAGGTGGGGAAGAGAGAGGTGGGGAAGAGAGAGGTGGGGAAGAGAGAGGCGGGGAAGAGAGAGGTGGGGAAGAGAGAGGCGGGGAAGAGAGAGGCGGGGAAGGGGAAGGTGACTTCTGGGCCTAAATCAGCAACAGCTGTACATACCTGCATGGGAATGTCATGTGCTGTCCAGCCCATGCATGAATCCATTCAGCAGGCCAACCCATGCACCTGCCTCCCTCATCTCCACCCCTTGTAAACATACACATTACCACCACATGACCACCACATGACCACCACATGACCACCACATGACCACCACATGACCACATACACATCACCCCCTGCACCATAAATAAACCCTTGAACTACAGCAGTCATACGTACCCACATACCTGCACACCCATACCTGCACACCCATACCTGCACACCCATACCTGCACACCCATACCTGCACACCCATACCCGCACACCCATACCCGCACACCCATAACCGCACACCCATACCCGCACACCCATACCAGCACACCCATAACCGCACACCCATACCCGCACACCCATACCCGCACACCCATACCTTCACACCTATACCAGAACACCCCTACATGCACAACCCTACTTGCATGGGCATGTCCGGTGCCGTGTGCATGAATCCGTTCAGCCGCCCAATCTTGGAGTCAATGGCTTTCTTTCATGGCTTCTCGACTCCCGCTGCACCCTAAAGTCTAAACCCCACATACCTGCACACACCTACCTGCATGGGCACATCCGGTGCAGTTTGCATGAATCCGGTCAGCCGCCCAATCTTGGACTCAATGGCTTTCTGGCGCTGCTTGGTGAAGCGGTCGATGTTCGACTCGTTGGTGAATATGACCTGATAAGTGGGCGGAAGAGGATTCGGGTCTGAGAGGTTTGAGGTTTGAGGTTTAAGGTTAAATCAGTTGGCGAAACGGTGCGGTCGATGTTCGACTCGTTCGTGACTATGGTCTGGTCATGTGGGGGAGAGTGGGTTCGGGGTTTGAGGTAGGCATGAGCAAAAGGCCTGGCCGGGCCGGGCCAAAAACACGGGCTCGGGCTGCCAGGTGTATTTTGAGTTGACTAAAAAAACACAAGCCCGGGCCGCCCCCCGAAACTCCGCCCGTGCTGAGGCGGGCCAGCCTGGCCCGGCCTGCCTCCGGCCCGCCCCCAGCCTGCCACTGACCCAGTTTTACCTGGGGGTTGGCCCGTTCCCCCCCGCCCCCCCCCCAACCCCCCCACCAAGGCCAGCCCGCCCCCGGGCCAAGGCCGGGCCGACCCCCAAAACCGGGCTCAGGCCAGGCATTTGCCAAAGTTGGCCCGACCACGGCCCGGCCCAGCCCGGCCCGTCCCAGAGTTGGGCCGAACAGACCCGGGCTGGGCCGGGCGTATGCTCATGCCTAGTTTGAGGTTACTTGTAAGTTGTAACCCCCTTGGTGGAGTTGCTGGAGGACACTAGGCACAATTGCAAACATGAGCGACCAGGCGTGTGCTCCCATGCTGCATGTGCAAGAATCGATGATGTCCTAAGGCAGAGGACGGAACAGGCTCACAATCTTGTAGCCCGCCTCGTGTAACTGCTGGAGAACACTGGGGACATTCTCAAACATGAGCGACCAGGCGTGTGCTCCCATGCTGCATGTGCAAGAAACGATGATGTCCTCGGACCTAGGGCAGAGCACGGAACAGACATACAATCTTGTAGCCAGCTTGGTGCAGATTCTGGAGAACACTGGGCACGTTTTCAAACATGAGGGACCAGGCGTGCGCTCCCATGCTGCATGTGTGTGTACAGCGGTGTACACTTGAATGCCTTCAAACTTACAATCTTGTAGCCTGCCTCGTGTAACTGCTGGAGAACGCTGGGCACATTCTCAAACATAAGAGACCAGGCATGTGCTCCCATGCTGCATGCACAGAGGAATAAAAGACAAGGGCAGCGAGAGGGGAAAGAGTGGTGGGGCTGAGAACACTGGGCAGAGACCTGAAAAATGATAAATGAATCCAAATACGAATGCCTAACCAAATCTTTTGGCAAATAGTGGCTAGATTCGAATTCGCCGGATAGTATGCTCTTTACGAATACGAATTCAAAACGAATATGTTGCTCGTCAGGCGTACTCGGTTTTTTCTCATATTCGTCGTATTCGTCGGCACCTGCGAGTATCTGACGACCACGCTGGTAGAGCTGTGCATCCAGCGTGGTGGGTGTTCCCATTCGCAAATGCCACAAAGAAACATACACATTTTTCGTAGACCAATGAGCGCAAGCCCGCACGTCACATGTGCTATCCCCAACAGTCCAAGAGGCAATTGGACTGACCCTAACAAAAAACACGAACCCACCACACATAGCCCCACGACCAAGACGACTCTTCCTTCAGTGCGCCCTTCAGCAACATCGCGAGCCCGCCAGAAAGTAACACGCTACCTCCCTAATCTTCTCCTCGCTAACAGCCAGTTTGGGGGGGATAGGGTGGGAGGGAAGCGCGACAAATAATATTCGCGAGAGGACAAATACGGCAAATACGAATACACCTATGACGAATGGTCCGAATACGAAACTCACGAGAAAGACAACCACACTCGAATTGTTGCGCATTCGAAATTCGAGTATGAATCCGAATAATACTCGTTTTCACCCTTAGCACGGAGGCAAACAGGAAAGACCTAGCGTGTGCACCCATGCTATGACCGAGCGTGTGCACCCATGCTATGACCGAGCGTGTGCACCCATGCTATGACCGAGCGTGTGCACCCATGCTATGACGAAACAAGAGAGGCGCAATGGGCGGTAAAAGAGGGTGTGCCACATGGCAATGGGCGGTAAAAGAGGGTTTGCCACATGGCAATGGTTTGAAAGGCCACGCGATACGACGCATGAGGTGTGCCACATGTGCCACATGTGCCAGCAAGAGCATCGCTCCCATGCCGCATGTTCTATCAAGGTGCAAAGAAACAGGAAGTGGGTAGAGGGAGCATAAGGTGCAGATAGACGAGCCATTCATATCCGCAACTCACACTGCCTCACACTCTCAACTCCCACACAAACAAGGTGTATTTTGAGTCGACTCAGAATATATCCGCAACTCACACTGCCTCACACTCTCAACTCCCACACAAAAGATCTGAAAGGAAAGGAAGAGGCAGGGTATAGAGGGAGGGAGCACAAGGCGCGAATAGAAAAGCGATTCGTATCCGCGCAAGTCACGCACTCTCACAACTCACATCCTCACATTGGTGTTATCAAGGCAGCTGCCAAAATCAAATGTCACTGCGGTGAGATGCGGTAAAGGTGTTCTCACATCTGCAACTTACACTCTCACAATCTCACATTCTCACATTCTCCCACTCTCACACTCTAACACTCTCACACTCTCACACTCTAACACTCTCACAGTCTAACACTCTCACACTCGCACACTCTCACACTCTAACACTCTCACAATCTCACAATCTCACATTTTCACACTCTCCCACTCTCACACTCTAACACTCTCATACTCACACTCTAACACTCTCACACTCTCACTCTAACACTCTCACAGTCTAGCACTCTCACACTCTCACACTCGCACACTCTCACACTCTCACACTCTAACACTCTCACACTCTCACACTCTCCCACTCCCTACTCACATCCTCACATTGGTGTTGACAAGGCAGCCATCGAAATCAAAGGCCGCGATTCGAGCGGATGGCTTCAAGCCCGGGCTCTGATAGCGTGTGGGATCAGGCGGAAGGAAGGGAAGGGAAGGGATTGAAAGGGATGGGATGGGGTGGGATGGATGGGATGGGATGGGATGGGATGGGATGGGGTGCATGGTGGCTAATTACACAATCAAATTCAGCTCATTGGATAGAGAAATAAGAAAATAGGCTTGAAAGCTCCTGAGTGCAGGAGGGAGCATCTCAACGCACTTACATATATTTGAACCTTACTTTTTGCAGCCTGCCAGTTGGGCTTTAAGACTGCCTAGCAAAAGTAACATGGCATGGTTACCTGGTGCAGAATGACAGAGGAGAAGGAGAGCCACCCAGGAGCTAGAGAAATTCCCTGGGAAAAATAAATGCAGGACGAACAGGGGAAGATGGAGAGGCGGGAAACAACCAAAGGGCCAAGGGGCGGCGGAAGGGAGCAAAGCTTCGATGGCAGCAGAGGCGAGCAAGGCAGAGAAAGTTATTGACATGAAACAGACCAGCGGCTGGACTGCACTGGACAGGAGTCAGGACAGGCGGACCCTCGCTTGCCTTGTAAATCCCTTTGAGGGACTCGAGCGAGAAGTTTCCGAGAAGCTCCTTCAGCTGGGGAGATGCAGGAGGGCAAACGGAGGAGCTTTCTTGCACCGCCTGCCATGGATGGAGAGGAGGTGATGCAAAGGAGGCAAGTGCAGCATTCCCCCCAGCACAGCATTCCCCCGAGCACAGCATTCCCCCGAGCACAGCATTCCCTCCGCCGAGCACAGCATTCCCCCGAGCACAGCATTCCCCCGAGCACAGCATTCCCCCCGCCGAGCACAGCATTCCCCCGAGCACAGCATTCCCCCCGCCGAGCACAGCATTCCCCCGAGCACAGCATTCCCCCGATCCCATCCCAGCGTTCCCGTGGTCAAAAGGGGCGCATAGATCTTTCAATAGCGTGTTTACAAACACCTGCCAGGGCAGAACAGCATTCCCATCGTTTAATTAACGGCGCTAATGCGTTGGTGGTAGTGATGATTACTCTTGATTCGACTCAAATGCAAATCGCCATTGTTGGTAACCCGCTGCCATGCATGCAGTAATTGCCATGTTGGTAACTAGACATGGGCATGAGCCGAGCCTGGCTCGGCTCGGCTCGTCCAGGGGTCGAGCCGAGCCGGCTCGCCGTCGAGCCTGGCTCGGCTCGAGTCGAGCCGGGCACCAAACATGCCTGGCTCGGCTCGCATTTCTGTGGGCGAGCCAGGGCTGGCTCGACGGCGAGCCGGCTCGGCTCGACTCGCCTAGCATGCGCTTAAGCCAACAGTAGTGTGGGTGGAGCCTATGCAAGCGCGCGTTGTTAAGAGTGGCGCGGGCTGCTTAAGATTTCTCGCGCGAACTAATCTAATGAGATACTCCTAGGCATGCAGAATTCTAGGGTTCGCGAAATTGACGGGAAGTGGATTGTGAGGAGGAAGGATGGTGCAAGGGGTTAGGTTGGAAGTTGTAGATGCAGTAGTGTGCAGTGCGGTTGAGCGGGGCAAAAGGGTTGGATGTGTTTTTGGTCGTCAAAGTTTGGGGTTGCGACTGGTTGAATTCGCGAGGTCGCAATGCCGCGAGAAAGGATTCCGCGTCAAATATTTAGGGCGAGCGTTTAGCGTTTACCCTTTAAACGCAGCGTTTAAACGATAAACGCTGCACCGCTAGAGCGATTTCGGGAACATAGACTAGGAGTTGTTGGCAGGAGAGAGAAACGGGAGCCACGTTTTGTCGAGGGGGAAATTTACCCTTGAAATCGAGTGGCGAGCCACCTGGCTCGAAATCGAGCCGGGGACGAGCCGGCTCGACCCCGGCTCGACGAGGACATTGTGTACGAGCCGAGTCGAGCCGGCTGGCTCGACCGAGCCGAGCCGGCTCGGCTCGAGTCGAGCCAGATCCCGAAAAGAAAGGCTCGGCTCGTCATTTTGGCGAGCCGAGCCGAGCCGAGCCGGATGTGGCTCGGCTTGTGCCCATGTCAATTGGTAACCCGCTGCAATGCATGCAGTAATTGCCGTGTTGGTAACCCGCTGCCATGCATGCAGTAATTGCCGTGTTGGTAACCCGCTGCAATGCATGCAGTCAACGTCACTAGCCCCTCTCCAGTTCGAACCCCTAGCCTCTCTCTAGATCTCACCTCCCCCTAGCCCCTCTCTAGGACTCACCTCCCCCAAGCCCCTCTCTAAATCTCACCTTCCCCTAGACCCTCTCTAGATCTCACCTCCCCCTAGCCCCTCTCTAGGTCGCACCTCCCCCTAGCCCCTCTCTAGATCTCACCTCCCCCTAGCCCCTCTCTAGATCTCACCTCCCCCTAGCCCCTCTCTAGATCGCACCTCCCCCTAGCCCCTCTTCACCTCACCTTGCTTCTCTTCAATTCCGGCCCACTGCAGTCGCCTCTGCTGCGCACATCCCCGTTACAAGAACCTCCTGCTTCAGTCACACCGTCTCGTAACGCCCCTGCTTCTGCCCCTGCACCCCCCTCCCCGCCGCCTCCCTCCATCACCCTCTTTGCTCTCCCGTCCTTGCGTCCCTCGCTTCCTCCTGTTTCCTGTGGCGCTGCTGCTGCTGCCCCTCCTTGATTCAACGCAACACCACCAGCACCAGCAGCAGCACCAGCAGCAGCAGCAGCAGCAGCAGCAGCGGCGGCTCTCGTAAAGATGGCCTGGAGCGTTTTCTGGTCGGACGGCTGGTGGTGGTGAGAGGGTGTGGTGGAGGCAGGAGAAAGGCGCCGTGAGGTGAGGTTATTGTAGAGCAGCAGAGTGCGAGTCATGTGGGAAGAAGTGCCAGCAGCACCAGCAGCAGAGGCTCGCGTGAAGATGGCGTGAAGGGTTTTCTGGTCAGATGGCTGGTGGTGGTGAGAGGGGGAGGAGGCAGAAGAAAGGCATAGTGAGAGTGCACGGGAGGGGAGGGTCGTTTGGTTTGCACGGGAGGGCCTGAAGATTTTTCTGGTCAGACAGCTGGTGGTGGTGAGAGGTTGTGAAATGGCAACGGCTGAAATGGCAGCCCTAACGAATAGGCTCGCAGATGTTCCAAGAAAAGAATGGAGGGATGAAGGGAGGAGGGGATGGAGGGGATGGAGGGGATGGAGGGGATGGAGGGGATGGAGGGGATGGAGGGGATGGAGGGGATGGAGGGGATGGAGGGGATGGAGGGGATGGAGGGGATGGAGGGGATGGAGGGGATGGAGGGGATGGAGATAAGGACCAAGAAGGAGAGAAGACGGACGAAGCAGAGTTATTCTTGAAGGCAAGAAAAGGAGTAGGCCGATAGGTTAGTGCATGGGATAGAATGCCACGTAGGATAGAAGCCACGTAGGATAGAGACGCCCTTCGCATCTTCAGACGCGTGAAGCCGTGTGCACCTGGACGGTGACTGTATCGAAAGCAAGTTAATTGCGGCCACGATATAGTACCTTTAACCGCGTGAATCCTTGTAATTTGGACGGTGACTGTATCGAAAGCGAGTTGGCAGCGGCGACGCAGGGCGGATGGTACCTGCAGAGAGTGGGAAGCCACACGCGTAAGGAATCGTTTTGAGTCGACTCAAAACGAAACTACGGGCACACGCACGGCGGGTGGTACCTGCAGAGAGTAGGAGAAGCCTCAAATCCGAGTGCGTTATCTACGACACATGCGTAAGGAGTCGTTTTGAGTCGAATTAAAACGAAACTACTATCACACGCGGGGCGGGTGTATTGCTTTTTATAATTCTCAAAAACAGAATCGCTTTGAGTCGTCTCAAGACGAAACTACTATCACACGCAAGGCGGGTGGTACCTGCAGAGAGTAGGAGGCCACACGCGTAAGGAATCAACTAGAGAAAGTTATTAGACTGCGCCACACCATTTGGTGACGTCCAAATCCGTCATTGCCTTTGGTGATCACTCCGACTCGCATCTCATCCTTGGCTACCAGTGTACTGCAGCGCTAGATAGGGCGAGGGTACGAACCATTTGGTAACGTCGAACCCGCCATTGCCTTTAGTGATCACTCCGACTCGCATCGCATCCTTAGCAACCGCTTCGCTGCAGTGCCGACACGCGGCGCGGCCCGATCGCGCGTACTCGACCACTGCTCGCGCTGCGCCGACAGCGACGGATGACATACGCAGGAAATTGTAACGAGGTGACTTTTGAGTCGACTCAAAAGTCACCTCATAAGCGGGAAATGCGTTGCTCTGACAGCGTCGGAGAGGCTAGCCGGAAATGCGTTGCCTGCTAGAACCACTGGTGACGAAACCCTGACGTAACTTATAGTAAACCGCAGATTTTCGGACGCACCGCTCGCGCTGCCTAGGTAGCGGCGGATGGCATACGCGGGAAACGCGCCGCTCCAATAACGTCAGCGAGGCGCGTTGCTTACAAGCAGCGCGGCCGGATTGCGCGTACTCGTACTCGACCACCGCGCACAGCGGCGGATGGCAAAGACGAGCTACGTCTACGTCGTTAGGATGACGAGTAATAGCGAGAAAGGCGTTGGGACTGGTTGATTAGGTCATGGCAGTTCACAAGCAAAAAACAGCTGCTCTTAGATGCTGAAATGAGCCTTGCCAGTGTTATGAATGGGACTGCCGAGTAGCGCGGAGGGCAATGGCGAAACTGTGAACGAGTGAATGACAATAAAATGAAAGACAATACAATATATAGAAAGCCTAGGGTAATCCTGGTCGTAGGATCTGAAGGTTCGGAAAAAGTATCGAAGGGCCTCGATGTGTCGTAGCGAGGGCCGGAAAGGCCCAGGAGGCTCGAACTGAAAGGTCTGGAACCCTATCGCTGGTTCGGGACTGTTCGAGTCGTACGCTCTGTAGCAAGCCTCAGTAAGGAATTACTAATTCCTTACAGCCAGAGTGAAAGCAAAACCGAAGTAACAAGGTCCCAAGTTACAAGGCGCCAACATTTCGAGCTTGACAACCTTGGCTACTATAATGAAGCTCAAAGAGCGTGTCACAATGATTGATTAGCGAGGAAACAATGCAACTGAGGCACATCAAAGCAGCAGGGGCATGGATATAGCCAACCTAGGAACACACGGTTGTGGCTCGGCAGAGCTGCGACGTATGGTTCGTGAATGGCGCGGAGCGCCCAGATCTAGGCATGCAACAGCAAGGCGGGCATCAATGCATGCGGCTTGTCATGAGACCACATTTGGGACCGCGATTTGAATTTCGTGGCAGAGGTGCGCGACAACACCGTTATAGCAGTGTACGCATTACTAACTAAAACCCGTGATAAGGAAATACCATTTCCTTACACCCTCCGTGAGCTATATCAGTCACGTGCTTGCGGGCCAAATAATTCGCAAGTACTGAAGGTGACTGTATCTGGTCCAAGGGCACCCACGTGGCGTCCTCACTGGTACGATTGGTCCATCGTATCAGAAAGTCAACGTGTCGTCCGTGGCCGTTGATACGAATCCTATGGCTCAAGATCTTCGAAGGTTCGATGGTTGTCTTGTCTTGATGCAAGCTAGGTAGGAGGGAAGCCATGGAATGGCGTGAGGTTTAGGAAGGAAAAAGTTGACGAGAGAAAAGAGAGTCAACTAGAAAGAGAGAGGGATAGACGGAGGGGATTGTACCCTCTACAGTAAAGTTCGATAACCTACCAAGCCTACCAATTATATAACACAATATAAAATTTAACACGTCTCTGCTGGTGGCCGTACATCCAGGACCTATCGATGTCGAGCGATGTCTAATGTGTCAGGTACAAAAGGTCACAACAGGCTCATGTGGAACTTGTTGTGAATACGCCAATTGTCAGGTAGGCGCAACTGGGTGGTCACCGGCGTCACCACCTTCATGATCTTGAAGGGGCCACAGAAACGTGGTCGTAATTTCGTCGGTAGTGGTAGCCGTAAGTACTTGGTGTCCAAAAGGACTAGTTGCCCTGCTGCCATTGTAATATCCCGTCAATGTGAATCTGCAAACCGTCGAGCTGTAGCGTTTGCCTTGCGAATACGTTCGACAGCTTTGTCTCGGACAGTCTGTAATTCTTCGGCGAACTGCTGCGACCGTGGTACTTGACTCTCAACATTGGTGGAGATAGGTACGGTGGGGTCCATCCCGTAATTGAGGTAAAACGGGGATTGATTTGTCGTAGCTGAGGGTGCGTTATTGTAGGAAATTTTCAACATGGGAAGTGCTTCCTCCCATTTGTTTCGGTCAGGGCAGTTTGTCCGAATCAGCTGTTCCATCATTTGGTTTGTCAAATCTGTCTGGCCGTCCGTTTAGGGATGATAAGTGGATGAGAATAGCAGGCGCGTGCCGTACCGAGCCCACATGTCTTGCCAAAATTTCGACGTGAACTTCGGGCCTCGATCGCTAATGATTGCTGCTGGTATCCCATGTAGGCGAACAACGATCGAGATGAATAGTCGCGCGGTTTCTTCGGCGGTGATGGTTGTACGACACGGTGCGAAATGCGCCATTTTCGTCAATCGGTCGACGACAACCAATACTGCATCATTTCCGCTAGATCCGGCCGGTAGACCTGTGACGAAATCCATTGTCACGTGTTGCCATGGGCGTTGAGGTGGCTCGAGGGGCTGCAACAGTCCTGTAGGTCGCTGATGTGCTGATTTCATTCGCTGGCAGATCGGACATGCGGCCAGGTAACGCTACACGCCTATCACCACATCTGGCCAGTAATAAAACCGCTGCAACGCCTTCAGAGTTTTATAAACCCCGAAATGTCCCAATAAATTCGAATCGTGGACTTCTTGAATTAGTAATTTGCGAAGTAGACAATAACTTGGGACCCGAATTCGATTCGTCCCGCTTTGTAAGTAATAGACGCCTTTCCGTCTAGTGATTTGGAGATGGCCATCATTTACGAAGAAGGGGTCAGACGAATACATGTGGGTAAATAATCCACTCAGTAGCGGGTTGCTCTGGGCGACTAGTACTGCTGCGAGTTGGGCAGACGGTCTGGAGAGGGCGTCCGCAATGTTGTTGGCGACCTTTTTGTACGTGATCTTGTACGTGAAGTTGGACTCCAGATAGTCCAGCCAGCGTATCTGCCGCGGGTTGAGATTCGGCTGCGCCCTCAGGTATTGTAGGGATTTATGGCCGGTTCGCACCATCACGTCTGCTCCAGTCAGGTAGTATCTCCAGATTTTGAACGTGTGGACAATCGTCAGCATCTCCTTGTCGTGTACCGGGTAGTTGCGCTATGCGGATTGCATTTTTCAAGACTCGTACGCGATTGGTTGAAGACCATTGCCGAAATCTTGCATGAGTACCACTCCGATGACGATGTCATTTGCGTCGATGATGACTTCGAAGGGTCATTCTGGGTCAGCGATGCAAAGTACTGGTGGCGACATTACAAGAGTTTTTAATGCCTCGAACGCAGCTTGCTGCTTCTCTCCCCACTCGTAATAAGTCCCCTTCTTCAGTAGGTCGGTTAGAGGTCTATTTAACCCCGCCATGTTGGGTATAAACCGCCGCACATGGAATGATTGCAGCTGCTGCAGATTTGTTGGCGGTTTCCACTCCTGAATAGCCCAGAGTTTTTTCGGGTCTATTTGAATATTACGTGCCCCAGGAACTCCAGTTGTTGTTTCAAAAACTCGCACTTGGAGCCCTTGGTGATGAGACGATGCTGCTGCAATCGCTGAAAAACCGCTTCCAAGTCCTTTAGATGTTGCTCCCGGGTCTTGCTGTAAATCAGGATGTCATCCAAGTAAATTATCACACATTTGTCGAGTAGATCGCGGAACACCCCGTTCATGGTGAGATGGAACGTTGAGGGGGCGTTCGTTAATCCAAACGGCATCACCGTGCATTCGTAACTCCCATAGCGAGTACGAAACGTGGTCTTGTGGCAGTCGTCGGCGAACACCCGAATTTGATGGTAACCGCCACGAAGGTCGATCTTCGAAAAGTAGCGAGCTCCGCGAAGGTTGTCAATCAACTCGTCCGTGCGTGGGATTGGGTAGCGCGATTTTATCGTTACCCGATTAAGGGCACGATAGTCTGTGCACATGCGAATTCCGCCGTCTTTCTTTGGGGTAAACTGGATCGGCGCCGCGAACGGGGACGTGCTCGACCGAATAAACCCTTTTGCTAACACATAGTCAAGTTGGTTCCGTAACTTGTGTAGCTCGGGCTGAGTCAGACGCCATTGAGTTCGTACAGTAGGCTGCGCGCCGGGCTCCAGCTCGATTTTGTGGTCTTGGAGTCATTCTGGTGGCAGTCCACTTGGCAAGCCGTCAGGGAAAATCTCGGGATATTCCCGAATGATTTTTGCCAAGTCATCCGGAACCGAAGCACAGAGTTTGTTGATGTCGGTTGCCTCGTTCTGCTCCGTTGATTCGGTCAGATGGACGGCGTATAAATCCGCTCCATTCTTGACCGCTCGCTGGAGGCACACAGCATTGACTCGCGTCGAGGTTGTCTCTGATTCCGGCCACGTGGGTAATTTTTGCCAACCATTTTCGCACTTCACTGTGCACTCGCATGTCGTCCAATCGATCTGCGGATTGAATATTCGCAGCCAATCGTGTCCTAATAGCACATCGTGGCCGTCGAGTGTTGTCGCCAGCATCGGTGCGCTGAAGACCTGGTCTTTGCCACACTTCATGTGAACGACGGGTACTTTGTCACGTATCGCCAGCGGGGTGCCATCCACCAGTCTTGCGTCTATTTCGAGCAGACACTGCTCCAACGATAAGTGTAGTCTTCGTGCTGTCTCCCGATTGATTAGGCTGTGACTCGCACCTCCGTCGGTGATTGGTGACCCGGCCGGTGGCAGTTGAAACATTGTCCTTTGCGAAAATCTTCCATGTGCTCCTTCGCCACTACGCCGTGAATCGTGGGCTGTGGGTCCTGGCCACGAAAACGATTTCCCTCCCGGGAACCCACTCTCGCATACGTCCAATGCGCATCGAAATTGTTTGCGATCCGGACTGCCTCGTGAAATGTCGTCAGTAGTCGCAGGCGAACCTCGCATTTTATGTCCTACTTCAGACCCAAAATGAATCGAGCCTTCTTCTCGGAGTCATGCATGTCGGTGATTTGATCGCATAACGACATGAAGACCGACGCGTAATCTTGGACAAAACTCCACTGGCGCCAATTATCCAGCTTCGTGGTGCGTTGTCCGAGGCGGATATTGGCTCGAATCGTTCATGCAGAGCTGTACCCCATGCCTTCCACATGCGAATCTTGGTCGATCCGAAAATCGCGGTTGACCCTTAGGTAGCAGACCCAAAGTTTCCGAAAAACCTCTGTGTGTCGCCTGCCGAAAACTCCCCCTCCTGTAGTGTATATCGCCACCAATCTAGCGCAAGTCCCCGCAGTAGTGAGACAGCCAGCCGAATTTTTATATCATCAGCAGCGATCCCAGAAGCATTAAAATAAAGTTCCGCCGAAAATAACCAGCCCTTAACAGTAGTATTCTTATTTGTGGGGTTGAACGGGGGTGGCATTGTCGGTTTGATTGACTGCCGGTGCGACTACAGTAGCGGCTGCTTCTGACCGGGCGGCAGTTGCTGTCGCTGCTGCTGCTGCTTTGGCTGCTGCTCGTGCTGCCACGTCAGCTGCTGCGGCGGCTTCGTTGTCCTTACCCTCCTGAGACACCTCTCGTGCGATTTCGTCCAAAACGGTTTCGACACGTCCGGTGCTGGCGACCTCCTCTTGGGCGGCAGTTTTCTGACGTGAATCCTCTCGCGCCTAGCGTAACTTGGCAACTTCTGCATGATTTTGCTCGTTGTCCTCCAGGAATGTAGCCATGCGTGTGAACTGCTCTCGAAGCTTGTTGAACTGAGCTTGGTCCATTTGGCGAATGCTCTGCCAGGGCAGGGGGAAATCCGTAGTGTGCCTGTACTCAGGTAAGCGCAAACACTATTATAGTTGGGCGAATTAATCAGTCTAATTCGCAGGCAACCGCTCTGCAGCTTACGTGAGGGACTTACCCCTCCCTTCCCAAAAAAATCAACTCACGAAAACGGGTGAGCGAGGAAAGTGGCTTTGAATACCAGGTGTTATGAATGAACAAGCAGAGTAGCGCGGAAATGAATAAGGAAGTGTTCAATCACTAAATGACGAGACAAGGAATGGCAAGCCAAGATATAGGAACACCAGAGCTAGTCTAACCATGAGATGTGAAGGTTCAGGAAAGAGATCAAAGGGTCTCGAAGTGACGAAGCGAGGCCTGGAGAACTCCCGAAGGTCAAACTAGAAGGTCTGGAGAAGTCGAGGCGGTTCCGTCAGAAAGGTACGGAACCGTCCCGAGGCTTCGGGTGTGTTCAAGCGTACGCAATAGCAGTGCCGCTCGGTAAGGAATGGAAAATTCCTTACAGCCAGAGTGAAAGCAAAATCAAAGTAACAAGGTCCCAAGTTACAAGGCGCCAACATTTTGAGCTTGACAACCTTGGCTACTATAATGAAGCTCAAAGAGCGTGTGTCTCACAATGATTGATTAGCGAGGAAACAATACAACTGAGGCACATCAAACATCGCATTTGGGACTGCGATTTGAATTTCGTGGCAGAGCTGCACGACAGCCTCGTTATAGCAGTGTATGCCTTCCTGACTAAAACCTGTGAGAAGGAAATACCATTTCCTTACACCCTCCCCCCTCCAAGGGATGGTCTTAGTTAAAACCGCCGATGTCGCGCACATTGCGTGACTGGAGGTAGACCTGTAACAGTGGGTAATTCTTGATCTGTGCGAGGGGCACCCAAGTGTTTTCCAGGGCTGTCCGGTCCTTCCAAGATATCAGAAACTCGATCAGGTGAGCCCCTCGAGGATCCCTGATCCGATGGCTGAGAACCTTCACAGGTTCGACAGCAGGCTCGGCAAGCGGTCAGATGTTCGGGTTCGTTCGGTGACGTGGTAGCTTACTAGTGCTGGCGATGTATGGTCAAAGTAACCGCACGTAGAATGGTGGGTTGACGTTCCAGGTGGCTAGTAATAGTAGGTGGGCTATAACGGAGGATATCATGTGACTGATAGTCAATGGTCCACAGTAGCGGGGACGGAGTTTTGGGACGATGGGCGGTCAAAGGTTCTGGGTGTCGAGGAGTACTAAGTCTCCAGTCTGGTACATCACTGCTCGTCGGTGTAGATCGGCGTTGCGCTTGGAAATTACATTCGCGCGCTTAATGGCTTCGGCTGCTCGCTCCCGGGCATTCTGTAAGATTTCGACAAACTGTTGGGGTCGTGGTACTGGATTTTTAGGGTTGGGTGTGATCGGTACGGTAAGGTTCTGCCCGTGATTCGCGTAAAATAGTGACTGTTGTGTAGTGGCTGACGGGGCGTTAGTATATGCGAACTCAATAAGTGGCAGTTGCTGCTCCCAGTCGGCCACGTTATCGCATGTGGCGCGAATCGGTTGCTCCATTGTCTAATTGGCTCGTTTCATCTATCCGTCAGTCTTGGGACGGTAGGCGGAGGAGAATTGCAGGAGCGTGCCAAACTGTTCCCAAAGGTTGCGCCAGAAGTTACTGGTGAATTTCGTGTCACGGTCTGAAATAATGGCGGATGGGATTCCATGGAGGCGAACGGCGGTTGCGATGAAGAGGCGGGCTGTTTCTTTGGCTGAGATGCTTTTCTTGCAGGCGGCAAAGTGGGCCATCTTGGTCAGCTTATCAACGACAATGAATATTGCATCATTACAACCGTCCTTGGCAGGCAATCCCGTGAAGAAATCCATTGTCACTTGCTGTCACGCGCGCTCAGGCGGCGGAATTGGCTGCAACTGTCCCGTTGGCTTCTGCTTCGATGATTTCATGGTTTGGCAGGTTCTGCACAAAACCTCATGTCGATGCATGTCCCCTTGCATATCGGGCCAGAAATAATATCTGATCAGCTGCTGCCTGGTTTTTTCCTCTCCAAAGTGCCCTGAAACTATACTATCGTGAGCTTCTTGTAACAATAATTCCGGTAGTAGACTTTACTCTGGTACCCAGATGCGGTCATTCCCTGTTGTTACGTAATAAACTCCCTTAGCTGTTGCGAGCTGTTCGTACGTGCTTGACGTAAAGAATCTGTCCGTTTGGTACTTGTGGGTAAATAGACTTGTTAATAGCAGAGAAGTTTGGGCGAGTATTATGGAGTTGAGATGGGCGGATGGGGGGGGTCTGCAATGTTAGATGCCCCTTTCTTGTAGGTGACCGTATAATGGAAGTTGGACTCCATAAAATCCAACCACCGAATCTGTCGTGGGTTGAGTAATGGTTGTGCGCGGATGTACCGTAGGCTTCGGTGGTTTGTCCGTACTGTCACGTCTGCGCCTGTTAGGTAGCACTGCCATACTTTGAACGCGTGCACGATCGCGAGCATCTCCTTGTCGTGTATCGGGTAGTTTTACTCGGGCGGGTGCAGCTTCCGTGACTCGTACGCGATTGGCTGTAGGCCTTCACCAAAATCATGTAACAGTACTGCTCTGATGGCGATGACGCTAGCGTCTGTGATTACTTCGAATAGACAATGAGGGTCGGCAATGCGAAGGACAGGGGCTGGGCACATACAATTTTTGAGTGCAGAGAAGGCAGCTTGCCCTTTCTCCCCTCACTTATACTCAGTCCCTTTCCGCAGCAGGCCAGTTAATAGTGCAGTAACCCCCGCTACATTCATGATAAATTGCCGAACATATTTGACGAACCCTAAAAAACTTTGTTGCTCATGCCGGTTCATAAGCGGTAGCTAGGCTTGTACCGTCTCGATCTTGCGCGGGTCCACCTCTACACCCTTAGTGGAAATCACGTGTCCCAGAAATTCTAAGCGATTTTTTTAAAACTCGCACTTAGATCCCTTCGTGAGCAGCCGATGCTCCTGTAGTAGCATGAAAACGGCTTCGAGGTCTTTTATTTGCTCCTCCCGGGTCTCGTCCAGGTAGACTATAACACACTTATCTACGAGGGAACTGAAGATCTGGTTCATGGTTATCTGAATGTCGCCGGGGTGTTCGTCAGACCGAAGGGCATAAGTACATAGTCGAAACTCCCATACCTAGTGCGAAACACAGTCTTGTGAAAGTCAGCTACGACTACTCAAATCTGATGGTAACCCCCTCGTAAATCTATTTTGGAGAAGAACCTAGCTTTGCAAAGTTGGTCGATCAGTTCGTCGGCGCGCGGAATCGGGTTACGTGACTTGATAGTGACCGTGTACATTGCTCTGTATTCAGTGCACATTCGGTACCCACCGTCTTTCTTTGGGAAAAACAGTATGGGGGCGGGAAATGGCGAGGAGCTCGGGCGGATGATTTTTTTTCTCCAGTAAGTAATCTAACTGTTTTCGTAATTCCTCTAACTTCGGCTGTGTTAATCGAAATTGTCGCTGCACTGTAGGCTGCGTTCCGGGTTCTTATTTCAATTCGATCGTCGAAGGGCCGCTCCGGTGGTAATCCCTCAGTCAGGTCGTCCGGAAATATCTGCGGGAATCTGCGAATCATCTGCACTAAAACGGTCGGCACTACTGCTGTCAACTTCTCTAAATAGGACGGTTGCGATGCCACGTCGACTGCGCGAATGACTACTGCGAAGTCTTTCGCTCCCAGTGGGACCGCTCGTTTGATCGCCACGATGTTCACCTGTGTCACTCCCCCTGTGATCCCTTTCGTCCATTCTGGTAACGGCACACTACGACCGTTGATCTTGACGGAGCAGCTGTCGGTCGTCCAGTCAATTTTTGTGTTGAATCGTCACAGCCAGTCCCGTCCCAGCAACATGTCGAAGCCGCCAAGTGTAGTTGCCAGCATCCCCATCGAAAAATTGAACGCAGCTCCACATCGTACCCTAATCCCGTCCGCCCTGACTTTTATTGCTAGTGGGGTCCCATCAACTAGTCGGGCGTCAATCTCCGGTAGACACCTATCTAGGGGTAACTTCATTTTTTTGGTAATGGCGAGGTTGATCAGGCTGTAACAGGCTCCCCCATTCTCAAAGGTTTTATTTTTTTCCCCTTGAACACTACCCTCTAAATATATAGGGTAATCTGTTGCTGCACCCTCCTTATGCAACTGAGTTTGGTCGATTGCGTGGATCGGTACCAGTACTCAACGAGGGTCATCAGTCATGGGCGAGCATGTTCCATCATTATTAGGCCTACCAACTACTGATACTAAGCGTTTCCCTGGTCGCTGGAACTCCCCTGCCCCTGATTCCGCTATTTTCACTCCTCTGGGCATTCTGACTTGCGGTGTCTTGGTCTGTTACACCCGAAACAGTGACCCTTGAAGGCTATAATAGTTGAGTTTGATGTTGTAACAGTATGTACAGTGGTATACTCGATTGGTCCCTGAGTGCAACTTCCGTTATAGAAACCTGCCCTTGGCTTAATGAACGAATCCAACCACTCCGCAACCCTATGCACCTCCATCAAATCCGTGATTTCCCTGATCTATATCTCCCTGCGCAGATCCAGTCGAAGTCCCCCAATGAAAGCCGACCTGCTCAAATATATTCTTAAAGCTGCTGGTTTAGTCCTGGACCGATCCGAGTTGGCGCCGAGTGCAAAGGCGGTCGCGTGCTTCGCTGCTTGTGTTGACATGTTCGAAGCCGCGACGAATTCCTGTGCACCACGTCATTAGAGTGAGAAAAGATGACTAGTCAGAGATGGTACACGAGGATATAGCCTAATGGGTTGTACCCTATAGCAGCATGCACCTAGCTAGCCTATAACATATTGTATTATATGTCAACACACCCCCTAGGCTAGACATGGGGCACTGACTAGCAAGAGACACACAACTCAGTGTGGCACTACTAGTCCAACACCTGAGGCAATGGACTGAAGACCACTCAGCAAGAGTACAAACTAAACAAGTGTAACCCAGGGCGGCACTACTAGTCCAGCCGCTGGGAAAAGAGCCACAAGCACAGTCAAGAAAATATAAGCAGTAGTATACAGTTAGGGTCCTACCAAGTGAGAAGCTACAGGGACTAGACCAAGCTATACACAGTGCCGCTGATGATCTTTAGGCGCAACTGCCTTTGTAAAGATATCAGCTGTGTTGGCACCTGAGGCCAAGTGTACTACGCGGGCCTGGTGGCACTGCTGTAGCTTGCGCAGGAGGAAGACCGCAGCTGGATGTGCTTCACTCTGCCCTCAAGTCGAGGCTCCTGACATAGAAGGATCATGGCCTTATTGTCGGCGTACAGGACCGGAGCAGAGCTAGGCCGCTCACCTAAGTCTGTGAGCAAGAAGGTCAGCCAGCGGAGCTCTTGTGCCGCCATGGCACCAGCGTAGATCTCTGCCTCACAACTCGACTGGTTAACAGAGGACGAGCAGGTGGACCTCAACAATATGGCACCTGCACCAAGGCTAAAGCTGTAGCCCTAGGAGGACCTAAGTTTCTTAGCGTCGTCCGTCCACGAAGCGTCAGTGCGCCCTGTAAGGAACACTGGCCTGCATCCTCCTAGCACTAGCCCCGTGCCTGATGTACTTACTAGAGAGCGCAAAACCCTCTTAGCTGCAGACCAGTGCTGCGGTCGTTGTCTGCCAGGCGCCACAAAGCGAGCCATGATGCTGAGAGGGTATGCGAGATCTGGACGAGTGCAAGTCATCAGGTATATGAGGCAACCCGCTAGCTCTGCGTAAGGACCACTAGGCTCTACAGAATCCTCAGGGACCGGAACCGAGAGCTGGTGATCTACTGGCAGAGGTGTGGGCTGTGCGGAGGAGAACTGAAGGCCGAACCTCTTAAGGACCTGGCGCACCAAGTGTGACTAGGTGAGAGTGATGGTGCGCGGTGCTCTGTCCCTGGAGATCTGCAGGCCAAAGTAGCGGCGCAACTCTCCTAGGTTAGTGCAGGTGTGTCTCCTCAGTAGCTCACCCTTCACGGAGGCCAGTGCATCTCTATCTGTAGAAGCAAAGACCAGGTCATCTACGTAGACAAGAATATAGAATGGGGTCTGGCTAGAACGAACAAAAAGTGAAGGGTCTGCTGACGACAGGAAGAACTGCAGGTCAGCTAATGTAGCACGCAGCATGTCATGCCACTCGTGCGGTGCCTGCTGAAGGCCGTAAACCGGGTGCCGGAGGAGCCACTGGGTCCCCGGGGGAAAGGTGCGGTGAAGCCTGGCGGTCGGCGCAGGTAGACCTGCTCGTGCAGACTGCAATGAAGAAAAGTTGTCAAGAACTCGAGAGAGTGCAGCTCATATTCACGCTGTAATGCTTCGGATAGCAGCGCCCAAAGCGTAGTCATCTTTGGGGTCGGGGCAAAGGTCTGGAAGAAGTCCACACCCTCTCGTTGACAGAAGCCTCTAGCCACGTAGCACGCCTTGAACACAAGCGGCTCTCCAGGAGGGAGCTTCACCTTGAATAGCCACCGGCCATCGACTACGTTCACCCCAGGTAGGGGAACTGCGTCGACGTAGGTGCCAGTGGATCTCCAAGATGCCATCTTCGCGTCCATGGCAGCTATCCACTGAGAGGCCCAGGGTCCCGAGGTCGCCCCAGCGTAGGTGCGAGGGGTTGGGATGTCAAAGGCATCTGGGTCGCCCTCAGGAACTAGCAGCATGGAGCAGAGATGAGGCGCGGCCTCGGACAGGAAAGCATTCTCATACTGCCGGTCCTCCAGAACGTCACTGTCAAGGGCAGGAGCACCCCCGACGGATGGAGGATGGTAGGGTCTGAGACCAGAGGAGTGGCGTAGTCAAGGCAGCTGGTAGAGGCGAAGTCAGCGACAGCGGCGACAAGAGCGTTAAGACTCGAGACAGGAATAGACGGGTAACGAGGGAGGCAAGAACCTGAGGAACAAGAGGACTAGCGGCACGAAGGTAGTCAGACAGAGGAGGCGGAGCGACTACAAGCGACGACGGAGGAGGCGACGGGAGGAGGGAAGGACGTGACGCGTGGGAACGGAGCAACATAGAGTGAGAGCGCTGAATAGGGATGCAGGACGAGCACGAGAGGGGTGGCGAGACAAGAAGTGGGACGGAGGCGTCGGGTCAGGAGATACAGGAGGAGAACAAGAGGGGAAACAAGTTGGAGATGAGTCCGGCGGAGGAAAGACAGGGCCGTCGATCGGCAGGGGAGGCAGCGACAGGGGAGGCTCAGGCGGGTGGTCAAGGGAGGGAAGGCTAAGCAGACGAAGTGCGGGCACCTGCGGCGACTGCTGCCACTGCGGCTGCTCCTCGCCGACACCAGAACCTCCAGCTGCACCACGGCTACCTCCAAAACACTCCACTCCAGCATCCCCAGAGCGAGAACCCTCTCCAGCACTTGTGCCAACCCCGAGACCATCGGGACGAGCCACGACAGTAGCCTCAGGTCCAGTACCCCCAGAACCAGCACCCCCAGAAAGAAAATCTTCTCGAGCACTGGTGCCACCCCCAGGACTGCCGGGACGAGCCACGACCAGAACCCCATGACTAGCACCCTCCTCAACACTCGCACCCCGAGAGCCCACGGACGGCTGCTGCTGCGGCTGCAGCGGCGACAGCTGCAGCTGCTACGGCGGCGGCAGCGACGGCAGAGGAGACACCGGGGTGGAAACAAGTGGCGAAAACTGCGCCGCGGGGCCACCAGAGTCAGCCGACTCCTCGACTGAGACAACTGATGGGAGGGGAGTGACGTCAGACACACCAGACGAAGCAAGACGGGGAGGGAGGGGAGCCGGGGCTAGCAAGGGAGTGGGAACCAGAAATAGGGGCAGGGAAACTAGGAGACCTCGGTGGGGAAAGTGGTGGTAGAAGGAGACAGACTCGTCGAAAGTGACGTTACGCGAGTGAAGGAAGCGGTGAGACGGCGGGTGGTAAAAGTGTCAGTCAGATGAGTCGAGGGGGAAACCAAGGAAGACATAGAGGACAGTGCCGGCTGTGAGTTTGTCCATGCCAGAGGCATGAACGTGAGCGAGGCATCTCCAGACGTGGAACGCAGAGGCGTCACTAGGGGACCTGGTCTAGAGGAGGGTCGGCAAAACCTGTGGCCGCTGGGAGTGTGGGCACAGGTTAAGCTGGTGAGCGGCGTAGCGAATAGCGAACGGCCACAAAAAATGGGGTGCACCGGCATGGATCATGGAGGTACGAGCCACCTCCATCACCAAGCCAATGCGTCGCTTAGTGTCCCCATTTTGCTATGGGGAGTACGGTAGGGTGTACGACTGGGTGATGCCCTCCGCACGACAGAACTGGCCAAGCCGACCGGAGGCAAACTCGCCACCACGGTCGGAGTGGAGACACAGCATAGGGAGACCGCGGTGGACTTACAGTGACGGAATAAACTGTATCCAATGTTGGGCTTGTTATCAAATAACTCGTTTTTAACCATGTTGGGAGTATGTAGCTGACCACAAAGTGTTGGTGACATCAAATGTGGGTGGTCTAGGGTAGTGAAAAATGTATTGGTAGTTGCTAATATCGAATCAGCACTAACGAGTACACAAAAAAAGCCACGATGGTCCATGCGGACACTTACTTCCTGCCGAGACTCTAGAACCATTTCGGCCTTGCATTTCACCCTCGGTATTGGATAGGCATCGACATCTAGCCCACAGCACGACTAGATCCTAAGCAAGTATCAAAGTAGGATGCGCCCTATCAAGTCGCGCATTAGAGAGAGAATTACGACCCTATTGCGCTAGGGTCTAAGCATTCGTAAAATCGCTCGCACGTTAGACTTAAGCAAGAGTACAGTTCAGAAATATGCGGAATTGGCATGTCATCATGACGGTTGCCTAGCTGTTAGACCGACCGCCCCTCAAAACGGTCGGCCAAGCCTGCTCTCCATGCGGATGCGACGGGGGCTTGTGCGTGCCGTGACTTCTGGCGCCGCGAAAACGAGTGTAGAGACGGCTAAGCAACTCGAGTCGGAGCTGGGCATCAAGGTGTGCCCGCGAACGGTTTGAAACGCACTGAAGCAATCCGGCCTCGTTGCTGTACAGCAACCGAAGAAACCACGACTCTCAGCGCGGAACATTCGGGACAGATTGGAATTCGCACGGGCCCACTTGGATTGGATGATCGAAGACTGGAAGCGGGTAATCTGGTCTGACGAGACCAAAATCAACCGCTTCTGCAGTGATGGCCGCACCTATGCATGGATCCGTGATGGCACGGCCCTTCAAGGGCATCAGGTAAAACAGTATGTGAAGCATGGGGGCAGATCCGTAATGGTATGGGGCTGTATGTCCTATGATGGGCCCGGGTTCATGTGTGAAATTGAGGAGCGCATGGATGGGCAGCTGTACCGCTCGATCCTGCAGGACGAGCTCTCTCAAACGATCGATTATTACTCTCTGACTGCATCTGATGTGATTTTCCAGCATGATAATGATCCAAAGCACAAGAGTAAACTTGTGCAGGAGTTTCTCTCTGAGCAGCCATACGCAGTCCTGCAGTGGCCTTCCTCCTCCCCTGACCTTAATCCCATTGAACACCTTTGGGCTCACCTTAAACGTGAGCTTGCAAAGTATGAACGCCCCCCCACAGGCATGCTGCAGACTTGGGAGCGTGTGCAGGAGACTTGGGAGGGGATCTCCGCTGATGTTTGTAGGGGACTGATAGATAGCATGCCCAGGAGGATTAAGGCTGTTGTTAGGGCAAAGGGGAGATGGACTCGTTACTAATTGAGGACACTGCAATGCCTTGTTGGATTTGGGAACAAACTGTCCGAATGTACCCCGTATAATTCTGCCTTCACAACTTCTAGTTTACTAGTCTTAAATGGGCAAGTGGCTGAAGCAAAGATGTGCTAGGCCATTTGTCTACCAACCTCAAATGGCTAGGATAACTCTACACTCCTAATATTCATGTTTTTTACATTTTACTTACAAAAATGGCCAACATGCGGACACTTTGTTCCGTCACTGTACGCAGCTACGAGCCACGGAAACGTTGGCCTTCCGCTCCAGGGGAAACACCATGGTGTAGCACGTGTAGTCGTCGACAAGCATCAAGAAGTAGTGGTCTCGACACGGCCGAGGGACGGGGGCTGGGCCCCAGACGTCCAGGTGCAGGGTCTGGATTGGTGCAGTGGCAGGGCGAAGCGAGGAGGAGTGAGGAGCACGGCACAGCCGGCCCTTGACGCAGGGTGTGCAAGGCGGCGCAGGTGAGGGAGGGAGGGTAGGGAGTGACGCAGGGAGGCCGAGGACAAGATGGTGCTGGGACATGTGACGCAAACGCGAGAGTGCAGGTGACCTTGGCGG